AAAGTATGTTATTGTAAGGGCAAGCAAATATTCCATATTCTGAGATTTGCCCTGTACCTCTAAAAAAACCCCACTTTTTTGTTTTCAGAAAGGATTGCTTATTTGTCCTCATGAACACTCATATTGTTGATGCATGGATGGTTTATCATTTATCATTTGCCTTCACAGTATCTGAAAACCGTGCTCACCAGGGGAACCCTATGAATTGCAAAGTCCCACTCAGTCTAATTTCTGGAGGAACTTTGAAGGGAAAGAAGAAAGGGAATGTACATGTTTTGACTACGCAATGGTTGCTGATAAATCAGTTCTCTTCGAAGCATAGTTTGCACCTGTTTTTACACATTAAGAATAGGAATTATTAAGTAATAACTTTTCTCCTCCAGGAAAGGTATTAATGCATATTTTTGAGAATTTAATGCAATGACTTTAAAGCTGTTCTCTCGAGCACCCCATCAACTCTGGATAACTCTGCAATTGCAAAGGGCTTTCTGAAATCATGGTTAGAGTTCCAGGATTGGAGCTCAGTCAAAATCTATTGTTTGGATTGTCAGGAGACTGATGTTGGAATCCCCAGCTGGGAGAAGTTTAAGGATTTCTGCACTGCAGGCATGGAATACCTTAGTCTTTGCTAGTTAACCTGACATTATTGCTCGTATGAGTAAGGTGAAGATAAAATGAAAGAATTTATTTACTGAATCTAAGTGCAACAATCCAGTTACTGAAAGTATAAAAACAGTGAGCAAAACTGAAAAGAAGCCCCTACGTGTATTAGTCCAGCACTTGGATCACAGCTAAAGTTTTCTCTTGGCCTACAGCATCCTGTAAGATGTTAAGGCAGGTCTGTTAACCACTGATTAGAGAGATGATGATGTTAGGGCACTGCTTGTACATTGATTCCCCTCCTGCATGTCTACCCATTTTATTTAACTTTTTTTCCTCAATAGCTGTGTTTTATTATAGGAGAGGGAGTGATTCTTAAATACTTTTAAATTTTGAACAGTTTGGCTAAAACAGATTCATTGTTTGCTTCTGGCATTTTAATGGCAGCCTGTGTGAACCAAGGCTTTCGGCACTGTTTCTTTTTTTTCTTGCTATTCTTCTGAAATCCAAATTAATTTTTTTCATATTATTTTTCAAGCCAATTTTGTCCTGTGGCAGAGAGTGGCAAATATAAAATTTAAACAGTGTTTTGCTTCTGTTTTGTTTTTGAGAAGGAGACCAGTAGCTCAGATTTTCATATTTACTATTAAAGGCTTTACCTGAGGGGGGGTATCCCAGTCAGTTCTGACAGCACAGAATTTTTCTATTTGTGAATTTTAGAGCTCATTTTTCTGGTACCCTCCACTGAGAGATGCAAGGAGAAGGGACACATATGTTCAAAGCAGTAATAGCTTCTACACCTCTGCTAACTGTCTTCGGATGAAATGTACTAGTCAAAACACAGGAAATCTTTATGTACTGTTCCTATAGATGGAATAATCATACCAGAGTTTAATTTTGCATAACATATAACAAAAGATCTTGAATTCTCCAGTTAAACTTCTCTAAGCTTAAGCTAATTAAGAAGCTATCAGGATGGCTGAAAGAAAGGATTTAACTTGGATCTTAAATCTTCTATTTTTGGAATCTGGATTTCATCTAGAAAAAGAATATGAGTGCACTGATTAGCATTTTGAAATAAGTACTACCTGAAACATATGCATAGGAATTTTTAAATAAAATAAATCTCTGACAATTGCTTGGAATGACTTAAAATCCTGTAACATATTAAGTATCAATAAAGGAAGCACTACCCAGGCTTATCTATGGAGATTCCATAACAACTGACCTACTTGCTCAGGGAAGTATCACAAATTTGCAATCTTTTTCAGCCCAGATAGCTTAAAAAATACTTCAGTCCCTTCTCAGTTCAGGTTTGGAGCATGGAAGGTCTTAAAAGATAAAATATTCATGTCTGAAACTTTAAGTCTTTCAGTGCCAAGATACACAGTTCTTTATCACCTAAGAAAGACTGCAGTTAGATCCTTAATACTGATCACTGTCACGTCCCACCTGGGGAGGAGGGGGGAGGAGTGACTAAGATTCGCAAATCCTCTCAGTGGGGATTAAGGTGGACCAACACTCGAGGTCCGTACACAAACACCAGCTTTAATAGAAAGCTTCTATAGAGACAAATATTGAATACAAATATTCGATACCCACCAACCCTCTCACGGTTATATCCACCCCAGCTATGCTGTTTTATGGAAAGTCAAGGTAGGCCATACAGTACTTGACTACAATTTAACAACTTTAACAATTTAATCACCTTAGGAAAAGTGAAAGGGAGAGAGAGAGAAGGAAAAGAGAATCACCAGTCCTGGATCCAGCGTTGGTCCTGCCAACAAGGGTATTCGGTGAGGGAAGAAGAAGATTCTTATAGAGATGTTAGTTCTGCGCAGGGTGCTCGGTGAGAATAATTCCACAAATCACGCACGCACGAGCATGAGCACGAACGTAAACACGAGTACCGGTACACACACGAGCACACACCACACACAAACTACAGCACATTTATCAGGCTACATGATTAGTATAAACCCGCCTAAATTTACACTTATTGGTTAGTGATTAACATTTCGTACACTATTGGTTTACTGTATTTAAATTAGCCTCGCTTGCTATGTAAATTAGCACGCATGCTCCTTTCAGGTGTGGGGGGGCAAGTCTTTTCGGT